TGGGGGTCCTGGATTCAATTTTTGGGGGTCTGGAGCCAATTTTGGGGGTCTGGAACCAACTGGGGGGTCCTGGAGCTGATTTGGGGGGTCTGGGAGGGGTTAGGAGCTGTTTTAGGGGAGTGTGAGGGGGCTTTACCTGGCTGGATTCGCCCTGCTGCTCTCCTTGTGAGCCTGGGGGGGATCTGGGGGGGTCCTGGAGTCGATTTGGGGGGTCCTGGAGTCGATTTGGGGGGTCCTGGAGTCAGTTTGGGGGGTCCTGGAGTCAATTTCAGGGGTCCTGGAGTCAATTTGGGGGGTCCTGGAGTCAGTTTGGGGGGTCCTGGACACAATTTGGGGGATCGGGGAGGGGTTAGGAACCGTTTTAGGGGAGTGGGAGGGGGGTCTGGAGCCAATTTGGGGGTCCTGGAGTCAATTTGGGGAGTCTGGATTCAATTTTTGGGGGTCTGGAGTCAATTGGGGGGGTCTGGAGCCAACTTGGGGGGGTCCTGGATTCAATTTTTGGGGGTTCTGGAACCAATTGGGGGGTCCTGGAGTCGATTTTGGGGTCCTGGAGTCAATTTTGGGGATCTCAGAAGGGTTAGGAACCGTTTTAGGGGAGTGGGAAGGGGCTGTACCTGGCTGGATTTGGGTTTTTTTTGGTCCAGGGGATTTTGGGGTGTCCCTGAACCCCATTTTTATCCCCCCAAAATTTCCTGGATCTCCAAAATTTCCTGGATCTCGGCCTAGGCCGCACTCGAAGCCTCCAACCAGGCCTCACTCAAACAGGCCCAGGGGGGGCTCAGGGAGACCCTGAAGGGGTTCAAAACCATTTTGGGGGGTCCCTGAACCCCGTTTTTGTGTCCCCCCAGCCTCCTGAGGCGCCTGGTGACGCTGATTTCGGCCCAGGCCGCGCTCGGCGCCTCCAGCCAGGCTTTCCGCAAGCAGGCCGAGGGCGCCAGCCAGGCCGCCCGGCAGTACCTGGAGGACAACGACGCCCTCAGGAAGGTACAAAACGACACCAAAAAACCCCCAAAACAACCCCAAAATCATCCCAAAAACCACCCCAAAATCACCCCAAAAACCACCCCAAAATCACCCCAAAACCTCCCCCAAAACCCAAACAAAACCCCCCCAAAAAAAACCCTAAAACAACCCCAAAATCACCCCAAAAACCCCCCCAAAACAACCCCAAAATCACCCCAAAAACCACCTCAAAATCACCCCAAAAACCACCCCAAAATCACCCCAAAACAACCCCAAAATCACCCCAAAAACCACCTCAAAATCACCCCAAAAACCACCCCAAAACAACCCCAAAATCACCCCAAAAACCCCCCAAAACACCCCAAAACCCAAACAAAAACTCCCCCAAAACAACCCCAAAAAAAACCCCAAAACAACCCCAAAATCACCCCAAAAAAACTCCAAAAACCACCCCAAAAACTCCCAAAACCACCCCAAAAACCCTCCCAAAAAATTAATTTGGATATTGTGAAAATATCCCCTTAAAAAACCCAGAAAAATTTGGGTAGGAGTGAAAAACCACCCCAAAACCACCCCAAAAAAACTCAAAACCACCCCAAAACAACCCCAAAAACCACCCAAAAAAACACCCCAAAAACCACCCAAAAAACACCCCCAAAAAACCCCCCAAAACAACCCAAAAAC